TACCTAAAATTTTGTTTAAAAAAAAATGAAAATTTTGGTAAAATTTCATCATTTTGGCAAAATGAATTGGAGTCAATAAAGGAAGGTGAAATCAAAGTGTTTTTTTCAGGGTGCAATTTAAATGGAGAAGTTCACTTCACCTACCCGGGACCCGCTCTTGTGAAAACAAACAGTGAAACAGAAAGTCAAAGTAACACAAAAACAAAGAACGCTAAGTCCTCCATTTCACACCGCTGCGTTCCGTGAATGCGCAACAAACACGTCCAAAATGTGCTTCTGATGCCATTAATGGCACCCCAAATGTGGCCGGACAAACGTGCGAACCCATGAAGCAGATTTTGCCACATGAGCTGCTTTCCTGCGTTGTGCCACCCACCGAAATCAACGGAAACTAAGGGGCATATTTCTAAAGCAGGGAATGTGACTTTCACCAAACATTCACTGGGGTGGAAGGCTTAAAACAAATAAACCTGGAAGTTTCACCTGCAAAGAATATTGAGGGTGAATGTTAGATTCACTGCTTTATAAATATGCCCCTCAATAAAATTAAAGGAGAACTATGAGGGGGGTGATTTTCACTCCTCCTCATAGTTCTAGCCGACCTGTGACAATGAGACTGTCACAGGTCGGCTCAGTAGATCGGGAGGTGAGCGAACACATACCGGCGCTCGCTCACTTCTCGATCATGCCCCTGCAGAGAGGGGTGACTGTTACTCACGGCTCCCTGCAGGGATTCCCCTTCCTCCCCGCTCCGATCCTCCAGCGCTGACTGGCGGAACGGACGGGGGAGGGGGCGGGCACAGCTGGGTGGATCTCAACAGTGATGTCGGTGATCCGCTCCGGCTGCGGCGTCTCAGTATACCGCGAGCTGTCGCTCCCTATATACTGAGCCTAGGGTGACGGGAGGACGCTAGTTTGTGTCCTCCCGTCACCCTAAGGAGAACTATGGGGAAAAACACTGACCTCATACTTCTCCTTTAAAGTAACTACTTTAAATAGATCCCGCCCCCAAAAAAGAAATAACAATCACACTCTCTAAATAAAGAAACAATAAGAATAGATAACAATGTATTTTTTCCTCGTACATTTCTGATGATAAAATTATTATTTTGTAGCTAAATTAATTTTTGCCGAAATCACTCCTCTCATCCCTCCCACTCGAGGGAATGCCTGCCGCTGGGGGCCCCAAAGATTTAGGATGCTGCGGGGAGCCCCATCCCCAGAATATTGAAATCAGTGGCTTTCCACAATGGACTGTTCCCCCGGTCCGGAAAACTCATCTCAATAGATAGTTACATAGTTACATAGTTACATAGTTACATAGTATTTGAGGTTGAATAAAGACACATGTCCATCAAGTCCAACCTATTGTGTGTATGCATGTGTGTATGAATACCTTCCCCTCCGTTTCACCACGTCGACACTCCCACTGTAAGCCTGATTTCAGCTTTCAGAAAACAGGATTAAATGAATTTGTAAACATAAAAACTATAAATTCATAAATTCATCGGCCGGCGTTTGTCTTTTAACATTAAAGGAAGATTTCTGCCGGAGTTTTGAATGAATTATTTCTTATACGGAATTTACGTTTCTCGAAGTTTTCTCTGCTCAGTTGGAAGCCGTTCCTGTTCCCGGGATTTCCTTTACGGGGTCACTGCATCTGTTACAGTGTCCAAAACTATATTGTTTTTTTGTTAGTTTTGTATACAAGGATTAGAACCCCTGTCAGGTCTAACTCCACTTTGGGGAGATTTACCTCTCCCTCTATTTCTGCTGGTGACCATTGTCGGGATGAAATGACGAAATGGAAATCCAACATTCTGAGTTGTCACCAGAACAGGAATAGAGGGAAAATCCTCCAATGGGGACACATGTTTCAGTCAAAGTGACACTAAACTCCGGAGTTAAATCTTAAAAATACATTCCAGTCCCCAAACTCTGAACAACAATGTCTCTTATTTGTGTATCACTCGGCTGGAGATCCTCCAATCATCTCTGACACTGTCCTTCCTTCTGGAGGGGGGCTACGTCTGTTCCCCGTGGTCCCTGTGTGTGTTGTACAGTAGTCACCTCTCCAAGCTCCCCCCCCTCCCAGGATGGACTACAATCTCATGTTTAGTTTACTAATTTGTATTAAGATTGTAGTCCATCGCGGGACTACTTTACAACACACACACTGGGGCCATGGGGAACAGACGTCAGGAACAGAGAATGTTCCTGGTGCCCTCTAGTGGTAAGTTGACAGAATTTCATTTCAGTTGGAGATCAAACAATCAATCGAAATGATCATCTGAAATAACAGACGTTCCAATATATTGATCAGAAGTGAAATAAAATAAGTACAAATATTAAACACATGATTACAACAACTTCATCTGAAGAAAAAAAACAAGAAAGAGCAAAACTAATAACAGCTACATTATATACAATCTTTATCACACTGCTTTATAATAGACCGCACACCTCTTGCAGTCCCTGTGCAGCAGAGCTCAGACACGGGGGGGGAGGCAGAAGCAGCACAAGCGACCAATGTGTGGTGCTGTAACGCTTATGTGCTACCAAGGGAAATGCTGGTAGGAGGAGAGAGCAGAGTGACAGACAGATGAGCTCATCAGACTGCAGCTTCATTGTCCAGTCACAGACTGGGGGAGGGATTAGACCTGTAAGGGATACTAGATTGCAACAGGGCAAAATCAGGTCTCCTGTTCTGCCAGACAGGGCTGTGCTCCATGGCAGAGCTGTGTAAATCTCAGGACTGGATGGACAGAATCCTTTGGCAGCTCCCATGTGTGTGTTTTATCTCTGAGTTTAGCTGTTTTCCCGGAGTTGAGCTTTAATACTCTTTATGATCCCTCAGTACGTGTGAGGTGGATGATATATAACGAGGTTGGTAATATATATAACCTTTCAGGTTCTATGAGGTGATGATGTCACCAGGTGCTGATCATCATTGGGCCCCTCGGAGTTTTACATCGAAAAAAATCAATAGCAATTTCCTTCTGCGACCTTTCACCGGTGGGGAATGTTCCTTCATACTGTACAGATAGAACGTATATTGTCATTTACTGAATGAAGGCGAGCGGATCTGTAATCAGAGGGGGGAGGGGGAGGCTCCCAGATCACCCGATTCACCATTCATGTCATGGGGTCTGACGGCCTCTACGGCCCTCGCTTAGACCACACAGTCCGGTCCCCTGGTGTCTAGCTGCAAACCTCCCAACCGTCCCCGATCCTGCTGGACTGTCCTGACATTTGACCAAAATCCCTGTAACCTGCCGGCCCAGAACATGTTCCAATGCCTGGGACTTCTTCCCACTGACTGCAGGGGCATTATTTCTTCTTCTGAACACCGGGGCATTCCTCCTCCCGCTGCCCACTGGGGCATTCCTCCTCCCGCTGCCCTCTGGGGCATTCCTCCTCCCGCTGCCCACTGGGGCATTCCTCCTCCCGCTGCCCATTGGGGCATTTCTCCTCCCGCTGCCCACTGGGGCATTCCTCCTCCCGCTGCCCTCTGGGGCATTCCTCCTCCCGCTGCCCACTGGGGCATTCCTCCTCCCGCTGCCCACTGGGGCATTGCTCCTCCCGCTGCCCACTGGGGCATTACTCCTCCCGCTGCCCACTGGGGCATTCCTCCTCCCGCTGCCCACTGGGGCATTCCTCCTCCCGCTGCCCACTGGGGCATTCCTCCTCCCGCTGCCCACTGGGGCATTCCTCCTCCCGCTGCCCACTGGGGCATTCCTCCTCCCGCTGCCCACTGGGGCATTCCTTCTCCCGCTGCCCACTGGGGCATTTCTCCTCCCGCTGCCCACTGGGGCATTCCTCCTCCCGCTGCCCACTGGGGCATTCCTCCTCCCGCTGCCCACTGGGGCATTCCTCCTCCCGCTGCCCACTGGGGCATTTCTCCTCCCGCTGCCCACTGGGGCATTCCTTCTCCCGCTGCCCACTGGGGCATTTCTCCTCCCGCTGCCCACTGGGGCATTCCTCCTCCCGCTGCCCACTGGGGCATTCCTCCTCCCGCTGCCCATTGGGGCATTCTTCCCCCCACTGACCACTGGGGCATTCTTCCTCCTGCTGACCACTGGGGCATTCTTCCTCCTGCTGACCACTGGGGCATTCTTCCTCCTGCTGCCCATTGGGGCATTCTTCCCCCCACTGACCACTGGGGCATTCTTCCTCCTGCTGACCACTGGGGCATTCTTCCTTCTGCTGACCACTGGGGCTTTCCTCTTCCCACTGACCGCCAGAACATTTCTCTTCCTGCTTACCACTGGGGCATTCTTCCTCCCACTGACCACAGGGGCATTCTTCCTCTTGCTGACCACTGGGGCATTCCTCCTCCCATCTACCACCGGAGTATTCTTTCTCCCACTAACAAAGGGTTGTTCCTCCTCCCACTCACACCAGGCCATTCTCCCTCCTGCTGACTGCCGGAGCATTGTGGGGGAAATGACAAGGTCCCCTGCAACCCGATGAAGTCCCACTACCCAGATGGAGCGGCAGCATGAGGCACCTCCTCAACTGTGCTGGACAGCCTGCAGCATCAGATGGTTGACCCCCCCAAACCCCTCTGTGAGCAGCGCTGCAAATAACGATTTCACCGTTTTAGTTTTGGGCGTTTTTGTGGCGTTTTCATTCATATTTATTTTTATGATAAGATCCGGTTCAGTGACACGGGGCCGATATTTCAGCATTTGTATTTAATGAGCAGACGGTATAAATACAAAATAGAGATTTCTTACAGACAAGACACAAGACGATCCTTCCGGTAAAAAAAAAAAAAAACCCATTCGGCTGAGATAAAATTCCTGATGATCTCGTCCCTCCGGGAGATCTGCCGCTCTTGAGATTGCCGCGCGTTTGCGTGGGGGGTCTGTGGCAGCCAATCACCTTCCCCGGAATTCCAGGAAAGCTACGTTTCATCATAATGGCTGCAGTCCTAATATTGGTCTCTGTTCTGCGTCCTTCGAGGTTCTGCCACCAGTTCCCCCCCCCCTCCCCCTGTCCATGCAGAGAGAGATAGATCGCCCTCCACCTTTACTTGAGTTCATTGTTTGTGGACTCCATGGCCACGAACTTCATCTCGTTGTTCACCGTGCCGGAGGTGATGCTGCCATCCCTGACTTTATTGCGGAACATGAAGGGGAAGGCCTTCTTGAAGGACTTCCTGAAGCTGGCGCCCATAAAGCCGTAGACGATGGGGTTGATGGAGGAGTTGGCGTAGGACATGCAGTTGGCCCAGGTCTTGATCTTGTAGGTGGCGTAGTTGGCCTGGAACCCCGGGTAAAAGCCCTGGAACAGGCTGAAGAGCTGGATGGGGCCCCAGCAGATGGTGAAGAGCAGGACGATGACGATCACCATCTTCGAGATCTTGCTCCTCATGGCGATGGTCCTCTCCGACAGGAGCTGCACCTGGAAGGGAAGGAGATTGGGCATTGGGAAGGAAGCCACAAACAGAAAAACTAAGAGCAGTGGTAGTAAAGGTTCTAGATATCAGGGGATATCAACTGTGGCCCCTTAGTGTTTAGATGTGTCCCCTGCACCCCTTACAGCGGTCAGGACCTTTAGTCCCCCTGTGAACAAAAAAAGTGAACCGTGAAATCACAGCACACAAAAACGTGCACATGGGTGCAAGGTCCTTCAATAAAGAAGGGACCTCGATTCCCGACCCCCCGGGGCGCAAGGCTCCTGACAGGGGTTGACACTGTTGGTCCACCAACCCGAAGGCCGTGGACCCCGATTCTTTGGGGACCTGCCGAAACAGGTCCCACACAGTACTAGGCAGGGGGCTCTCCCAAAGAGAGACCCCTTCCTGGGTTGGGAGGAGACAGAGAACCCCGTAAGAGGCACAGAATCTCCTCCCCACATCAGGAATAGGCCCCGAAGAAACCTGCACCCGCTGCATCTGCATCATCATCATCAAATAGAACGGTGGTGCTCATAGTGATAGCCACAGGTGGCACCGTGCACAACAAGCATGTAGAAAGTGAAGGTCACCGGAACTCACAGAATAACATTGAATCTTAGTGAGTTATTGACTTATTGCATTAAAATGTCACATGTATTAACCAGCCAGCGTTTCGGGGGCCAAGCAGGGTCCCTTCCTCAGGGCAATACAGTAACCTGTGTGGCCCTTGAAACGTTGGCTGATTAATACATGTGACGTTTTCCTTCAATAAAATAGGGCCAGGCCTCCGCCTCCTCGCCCTTCACCTCGCCGATAGTCAAGTAAGGGACCCGGGCGGGCCATCCAGGCTGCCCGGGCCCCTTACACGAGTATCGGCCGTACCCCCCTGATGGCTGCCCTGGCCGAAGGATCCAGCAGTAGCTTCGGCTGATCCTTTGGCTCTCTTCAGCCGATCCGAAGGACTGCTGTACGGGCTACTCACTATAGCCCATACAGCAGCCGAGCGGCTCGGCTGAGCCAAACCCATATGCTTCGGCTTGGCCGAGCCATATTCCCAGCCGAAGCCTGGAGGAAGCCAACCGATCTCCACGCAAAATGGCCGCTGATCTCACGGCTTGCTCTGGCCCGGTTGTAATGAAAGATCAGCGTCCCCATATGACCTGGGGACGCTGATCTGTCGTTAAACAATAACAACTGGGTGGAGCCAGCAGTGACATCACCTGCCAGCTCCGCCCAGTTGTTATTCATTTGCTGGGATTTGTTAGAAGACTCTGGCGGTGGGCGACCAATAGGAAACAGTTGGGCGGAGCTAGCGGTGAAGTCACGGCTAGCCCCGCCTAATTATTTTTATTTTGGCGAACATTCAGTAATATTCAGGATATGAAGCGCTATATTGGATTGCCAAAGACTGCTGACACTGCCGGAGACGGTCAGAGGCTGGGGAGATGCTACCGGGGAACGTTAGAGACTTGGGGTATGTAACATGAGACTGCTAGAGGTCACTGATATTACAGCCCCCTTTACACATAAATACTCTCACTGCCGGGCGCTGTGTAATCACGCACCCGGCTTCCGTGCGGCACCCGGCTTCCTCGCTCCCTCGTCACAAGGTGACAAGGGAGCATGAAGCCGGCTTACGGGAAGCCGTCTCCATGCTCCCTTGTGACGAGGGAGCATGGAGCCGGCTTCCCGGCCTATCAGAAAGCCGGGCAGCGTGTAATGACTCGCTGCCCGGCTTCCTCATACCGGAAGCTCAAGTGTGGGAGCATTTGGGCGAGTATGAGAACTCGCTCAACTACTCGGCATCTATACTAGTGCTAGTATCGGTATCGGTATCGCTGCATCCCTATCTAAACCTCAGACTGATCCGTGTGGTGGGCGGAGTCACTGCTGTGATCACAGTACAGGAGCTTCTTCCGCACGGTTGGAAGGGATACAATGTTTCACATGTGAAATGTAGACGAGAGCTCCCCCCACAGGCCGGATTGAAGACTGCATGATATCAGTTTGCAATATTTCTGATTTAGCTGACTTTAAAAAAAAGAAAAAAAAAAGCTCCGACTATATTAAATAAATGAAAAAAATATGTCAAAACCCCTCTGCACATTCCTGCTACACTGAGGCAATATTTTAAATGACGTAAATGACAGTAACGCCTCAGAACAGAGCGGCCGACGGTGATTGTTTGTATTTCCATTTGTCCAACACGGCAGGCAAGACCAATACAGGCAGCCGGCTACACGGCAGAGCCACATAGAAGGCTGAGTGCATACAGTGGTGCAGGCTGAGGGGACATTTGCATACAGAGATTTGGATACTATTTGAAGGTGTTTCAATGTCGCCTTTTACATACACCTGAGCAGGGCCATCTTTAATATTGATTGGACCCTGGGCAAACATTTTCTTGGGCCCCCTGCCACACCCTGCCCCCCGCCATGCAATTTTGTCCCGCCATGCAATATTGCCTGCTATATGCCGACAGCACTGAGCCGCGCTGCAGCTGGGAAAGATCCCGACAACATTATCAGGATCCACCCCGCTACCTGATTGATAGCTGGCTCTGCCTCTCTAGATACAGAGCCAGCTGTGCCAGCCCCCTCCCCGGTGCTGAAGAGGTGGTAGTTGCAGACGCAGCATTAGCACTAGTTTTTGGGGTACAGGGCCCCACAGCAATGACTGGGCCCGGGGCAGCTGCCCCTTTTGCCCTGCCTTAAAGACAGCCCTGCACCTGAGGTCACATGATTCTGTGCTGTGCTGCATGCTCTGTTCTATCCATGGCAGTGGGCAGGATTGTGAACACCTGGCTCAGCAACGGGTCTTCCCAGAGGACCTGATTATCAACCACAAGGGGGCTTTACAGTTATTGATTGATTGATTGATTTATTAATTAATTTCAGGTATTCATATAGCGCCAACAACATACACAGAGCTGTACACACTGCACGTTCACATCAGTCCCTGGCCTAGAGGAGCTTATACACTATTTACTTATTTTTTATGGTCAGCACCAAAAACGATTCATTTTATTAAGCAGATATATTTAAAAATGGATAATTATGAAGTACAGTATTGTTCATTCTAAAGGTGCCCATACACCTTGCGATTATTGTACGATAATCGCGGGAAATCCCGCGATCGTACGATAATCGCAAGGTGTATGAAAGGCGTGCGACCTCTGCTACTGTAAGGTCGCATTACTTTTCTCTTACAAGCATGTTCGAAAACCCGCCGAGAATCGTACGATTGTTGGCGGGTTTGCGGCATGCAAGTAAGACAAATGGCGAACGGGCCGGTGTGCGCAAGCGCACACTGCCCGTTCAGCATTGCAGTCATCGGAAGTCCTCCTCTAAGGGGGGCGCGGCTTGCGATGATCGAGAGTACGATCTGCCTGTCCAAGATAGGCAGATCATACGTTTTTTAAATGACCTTACGATCTGCCTATCTTGGACAGGCAGATCGTACTTGCGATCATCGCAAGGTGTATGGCCAGCTTTATAATGGACTCTTCCTTGGAGCCTTCTGGTGGTGGGGGGTTAGGGTCATTTTCATGTTTTTTTCCCCTCTGTCTGCAAGCAGCGGTTTACAGAGCTCAATAGCTCCAGCTACAATATACACACACAAGTGAATGGCTTATTAACAGTGACTACTCCCTCATTGGATGAGCGGATGAACCCGTTTGTGGTCTCAATCAGACAAAGTGATACTCCAGGACAGCAGCTTACGGTTTGCTCTCTCTCGTTCTCTCTCTCTCGTTCTCTCTCTCTCTCATTCTCTCTCTCTCTCGTTCTCTCTCTCGTTCTCTCTCTCTCGTTCTCTCTCTCATTCTCTCTCTCTCGTTCTCTCTCTCGTTCTCTCTCTCTCATTCTCTCTCTCGTTCTCTCCCTCTCTCGTTCTCTCTCTCGTTCTCTCCCTCTCTCGTTCTCTCTCTCGTTCTCTCTCTCTCATTCTCTTTCTCGTTCTCTCCCTCTCTCGTTCTCTCTCTTTTTCTCTCTCTCTCTCCTCTCTCTGGTTCTTTCTCTCGTTCTCTCTCTCTCTCTCGTTCTCTCTCTCTTTCTCTCTCTCATTCTCCTCTCTCTCGTTCTCTCTCTCGTTCTCCTCTCTCTCTCTCTCTCTCTCGTTCTCTCTCTCGTTCTCTCTCTCTCTCGTTCTCTCTCTCGTTCTCTCTCTCGTTCTCTCTCTCGTTCTCCTGTCTCTCTCTCTCTCGTTCTCTCTCTCGTTCTCCTCTCTCGTTCTCTCTCTCGTTCTCTCTCGTTCTCTCTCTCGTTCTCTCTCTCTGGTTCTCTCTCTGGTTCTCTCTCTCTCGTTCTCTCTCTCTTTCTCTCTCTCGTTCTCCTCTCTCTCTCTCTCGTTCTCTCTCTCTCTCGTTCTCTCTCTACCTTCTCTCTCTCCTTCTCTCTCTCTCGTTCTCTCTCGTTCTCTCTCTCGTTCTCCTGTCTCTCTCTCTCGTTCTCTCTCTCGTTCTCCTCTCTCTCTCTCGTTCTCTCTCTCGTTCTCTCTCTCGTTCTCTCTCTCGTTCTCTC